TAACCCTACAGTGATAGTGTCGATATATCGGAAGCCTTCCGCATTCTGCTAAAATTGCCTTTTTTGGTGATCGGTAGCCGACGCCAAGAGCAAACTTACAAAATTTTGTATGAATTTTCTCAATACTGTGGCGATATAAGGTTCCCCAAAGTTCCGAGCCGTACGTCAGTATTGACTGTATTTTACCATCAAATATCCCAAACAGCGATTCAACAGGTATATTTCTAAATTTACTGATAAACTTCTTCCTTGAATACATGGCTTTATCTGCTTGCCTTGAAAGTACTTCACATGCTTTTGTAAACAAATTTCGACACGTAATTGTTAAGCCAAGATATTTGTGGTATGATACTACTTCTAGTTTTTCTGGACCAAAGAACCATTTCTCGTGTTCACATATCTTTCCCCCTTTCTTGAAAACAACAACTTTAGTTTTGTTAGTATTTACAGATACTCCCCACTTAGCATAATATTTATAAAGAACATCTATCTTTTTCTGTAAATTTAGAACACTATCTGCAAATATTACAACATCATCCGCAAATAGTAAAATCGATAATGCCTGTACAACTTCGTCTACAAAAATTCCACTACAATCAGTGTTCACGATATCCTTCATAAGTTCGTCAATGTACAAGATAAAGAGGAGCGGTGATAATATACATCCCTGTCTTACACCTGCACTTGTATTGAATACATCAGTCATAGTATTTTTACTACATCTTACAGCTGCTTTTACATTTCCATATATACTTCTTGGTAGTGTACTTATCTTACCATGTATATCTTTAGCGAGCAACGTATATAGAAGTTTATTTCGATCCATGGTGTCAAATGCTTTTTTGAAGTCAACAAAAATACAGTAAAATTTTCCACGCTTCTTTCTAATATATTTATGTGTCAATCGTTGAGTAATCTTCTCTAAACCCTGCTTCGCATTCTGATAGTATCTGTTGTGTGGAGACCCAAAAGTTTATTCGAGATTCAATAATTGATATGAATATTTTACTTATGATGTCTAACATGGCAATGCCTCTGTAGTTATTATCTCCCGCCCAACAGAGTTGGCAGGGGATATAGAAACGGGCTCCGTCCGTCCGTCCGTCACGTTTCGTTCCCGGAGCATAACTCATAAACCGTTCAATATTTTTTCATCAAACTTTGTAGGTCTGTCAGGTACATGCTGAGCTGGTGCCTTTTGCTATTTAGAAATTTTAGAAGTTTTTATTTTTTACGTTTCCATGGCAACAAGATGGACTAAGGTTCTGTGAGGGTAGGGTTCGTTTCCGGAGCATAACTCATAAACCGTTCAATATTTTGTCATCAAACTTTGCAGGTCTGTCAGGTACATGCTGAACTGGTGCCTTTTACTATTTAGAAAGTTTTGACATTTTTATTTTTTTACGTTTCCATGGCAGCAAGATGGGCTTAGGCTCCAAACTCCTTTTTTTTACAATTTCTATGACAAGTTCCACCTAGGTTAAAAAAGGTTAGGATTTGTTTAGATTTAATTATGTCATAAATTCTGCAACAGGGGCGGGGGATACAGCCACGCTAGTGGCAAACTCTTGTTTGCGTTATCCTTCGAGACGGATTTATGTGATTCCATGATTCCGGGAATTGACCTGTCTCAAGAATTTGGTTTAAAAGACGTTTATAGAAGGATAACAACAGGGAACAGGTTTCCTTCACAGCTTCTGTTGGGATTCCGTCATGTCCCGCTGATTTTCCAGTTTTCAAATGCTGTATAGCATATATTATTTCACGGTCTGATATTTCCCCACTGACCAGTTCATCGCAGTTTCTACAGTCATCACAGTCTACATTAGAATGGTTTTCTAGGAAATCTGCGACATCTTTATCAAAATAGTGATTTGGTGTTACTTGCGATTCAAAAGTTCTCTGAAGTAGACATACCAATCATCAGCAGTAATGGATGACGATCCCAACTCACGTCTATAGCAATATTTCTTAATTGTTTTGCAAAATAATTTACAATCTATACTTTTTGCAGCTTTTACAACTTCTTCAGAGACAGACATTTCGTTATCAACCTTTTTTTCTTTTACAAGTTTCTTTAAAACGTTTCGTGGCGTTTACATACTCACTGCAATGTTCACTATCATTCGTAATCCTAAACCTATCTAGAAGGACATATTTGGTACATTTCAGTATCTCGCCTTCTCTGTCAAACCAATGCGTCTGGTTTTGATTGTAGATTTTGGTTTTGGTCGTCGTGCTTCATGGTGTCCCATAATGGATATAAAGCTATTTTTGAATAGGTCTTGTAACATCTCCACAGCAGAGTCTAAATTTGAGTTTAATCTATTATCAAATGATGGTGAAAAGCGGTCAATGCAATTATTCATAAAGTTTGCAAACTCATCCCCACGTGCTTGGTCCCACCGAAATCTATCCATGCTGTGAGATGCGCATGCAGCCAGCACGAGCGCCTGCGGGGTGTGCTTGTTCACGTGATACATCATGTGATAAGGCTAAGTCGATAATCAAGGGAAGATGATCAAATTCTGTTCTAGTTACTTTGTTAAAGTTTTAAAGCATTCATACATAGAAGAGGGCACAATACAATAATCTTCGAACTTATTACCTTAATGGCCAATAAACGTAAAATCCCCCTCTACGTCTGAACCCGCTCTGCCGTTCAGTACATGCATGTTCATGTTTACACACAGATCGAGTAACTGTTTACCTTGGGTATTAATAATACTGTCTTTGGACTTTCTTGGAATAGCAAAGTCATCATATTCATAGTTTAACTCATCAATCGGGAGATAATCGACAGAGGCATCTTCTATGAAACCTTATCCTAATCCTATATGAGCATTCATATCACCAAAATTAGTTATTGCAGTACCTGGGTATTCATTACACAGTGTATGTACAGTTTTGTCTCTAACAGTTCAACACCAGTGCAGTCTCGCATATTAGCTGCTACTGTTGTTGCATCAGTCACATATACAAATTCCAGTATAATGGGAGGCCTGGGCAGTACGTTTGTTAGGAAGAAAACACAATCTGTCCATTCGTTGTGTAATCGGGTGAACACCTGGTTGACAGACTTCCTTATATATACGGCGATTCCACCGCTATATCTGCCCAGATTACATGTGCGTTCTCGAACACACTGATGACAGTGATCGTCTGGGAAGATATGTTCAAAATCTGTGGTATGTTTGGCCCAAGTTTCTATAAAGGTATTGACATCGAAGGTTTTAGAAAAAAATAATTTTTTGAGTTTTGAATAAAGCCCATTTACATTCCATGTTATGAATGATAATTTTATTTCCGTAATATATCTATCTTCATGTTTGGATTTAGTAGTGGATCTGCACGTATCTCCACAATGACACTGGCCTCGACCACATTCCTATCTGGATTGCCCCTTGCTACTGTTACGATGTCTCTCTGCCAGATTGTCTCTCGGGGTGGCTGTCACCACGTCGTCTGCTAGCTCTGAAGTCCCGGATGTGGGATGCTTCGTCGGGTTGGCGACGGGGATGGCTTGCTGGCGGGTGTATCGTTGCTTTTCCATCGGGATGATGGTTTTCTTTTCCCAATCGTTTTTGTAAGTCACATTATTTACCACAAGCTTGTCGTATGTAAGATAGCAATCATCACCTTTGTCTGGATGTTCTTTCACGTACTCACCAAGCACCCGCCTCACATCTCTCACACTCTGTGTGTAATCCGGAGAGACACGGAACTTTCCATGTCGCTGCAGTGTGTTTCTGGCTCGACTCATACACGTTTTCTTTGTAAAAGGAGAACTTTACGATAATCGGACGTGGAGTCCGCTTAGTGGGTAATCTATGTGCTCTTTCAATATGTATCTCCGCTGCCATTTCCTCAGGCATTCTCAGCTCATTTTCCATAAAAGTTCTTACTATCTTCTCACTGTATTGGATTCACACGCAATATTTGTATTGGCTCACATGCAGTACTAGTATTGGATCCACATGCAGTATTAGAATTGGATTCACATGCAGTATCAGTATTGGATTCACACGTAATATTAGTATAGGATCAACACGCACTAGTCGTAATGGATTCACACGCAGTATCTGTATTGGATTCACACGCAATATTTGTATTGGCTCACATGCAGTTCTAGTATTGGATCCACATGCAGTATCAGTATTGGAATCACATGCAGTATCAGTATTGGATTCACACGCAGTATCAGTATTGGATTCACACGCACTAGTCGTAATGAATTCATACGCAGTATCTGTATTGGATTCACACGCAATATTTGTATTGGCTCACATGCAGTTCTAGTATTGGATCCACATGCAGTATCAGTATTGGAATCACATGCAGTATCAGTATTGGATTTACACGCAGTATCAATATTGCATTTTACACGCACTAGTCGTAATGAATTCATACGCAGTATCTGTATTGGATTCACACGCAATATTTGTATTGGCTCACATGCAGTTCTAGTATTGGATCCACATGCAGTATCAGTATTGGAATCACATGCAGTATCAGTATTGGATTTACACGCAGTATCAATATTGCATTTTACACGCACTAGTCGTAATGAATTCATACGCAGTATCTGTATTGGATTCACACGCAATATTTGTATTGGCTCACATGCAGTTCTAGTATTGGATCCACATGCAGTATCAGTATTGGAATCACATGCAGTATCAGTATTGGATTCACACGCAGTATCAGTATTGGATTTACACGCACTAGTCGTAATGAATTCATACGCAGTATCTGTATTGGATTCACGCGAAATATTTGTATTGGCTCGCATGCAGTACTAGTATTGGATCGACATGCAGTATTAGTATTGCATTCACATGCAGTATCAGTATTGGATTCACATGCAGTATCAGTATTGGATTCACAAGCAATATTAGTATAGGATCAACACGCAGTAATCGTAATGGATTTATAAGCAGTATCAGTATTGGACTCACACGCAGTATTAGTACAGGATCAACACGCAGTTGTAATTGATTCACACGCCATCAGTATTGGATTCACCCCCAGTATATTGGATTGACACGTAGCATTCGTAATGGATTCAAACGCAGTAGTCGTATTGTATTTACGCGCAGTCTTCACAAGCAACATTCATTAGTATTGGATTCACACGCAATTTTAGTATTTGGCATGTTGTGAAAAATACATTCCAAAAAGGGAGAAACTGTTCGAGTTGGACTTTTGGTCCAAAATGTGACGATGTCACAGTTAAAAACACTTGTTCAACAACAGTTCTATAGTCTCTGGAAAGTCAGTAAACACTAGATTAATATCTTGTGCATCAATGTAATCCACAAGAGATTGCCGCAACGATGGCTTCAAGCCCCAGATGACATTATCGGAAACCCACTGCCATTTATACAGAAAAGATCGTTCCGTTTCCGGACGGTTGACTGGAGGTACTGGTCGCCTTCTGATTTACCTGTCAAGATGATCCCATAAAAGTTCAACGGGGTTCATGTCAGGAGAAAATTGAAGGCCATGGCAAAACAGGAATGTTGTGGAAGTCTTACGTCAGAATTGCATGAGATCTAGCGTGGTCTTGTTGGAAGGGTAAACAGGGAGTTGTTTGAAGCAGTGGCACTAGGTCGGGTCTCGAAACATCATCTGGATACCTCTGTGCATTAAGGTTGCCTCGCATGATAACTAACTTTGTGTTCGGGTCCCAGGACTATGCCTGAAATTCCTGGACACAGTTCGGCGTTGTGCGTTTACCTTGACTTCTGTAATCACTTTGGCGAAAATCGGCTGTAAAAAGGCAAAACCTACTCTTATTAGATATTCTAGGGGGGTGGTGTGCTGGGAGTTTGTATTTCATTCTCCAATTTGGCTTTCTAAGACAGGTTTTGGTTATGTAAGAATACAATACCAAAACAAAATAAAGTAGTAAAAATAACATCACATCAATTTAATTAAATGTTAAATCGAAATCAAGAACTACCTTTCTCTGTAGGGAGACAATGATGTGATATTCTAATAAGCTGGCTGCTATAAAAAAACACTCAATTTGAAGGTGCCATTCCTGGAAAGTTAGTATATGTAAATAATGTAGAAGTTACGTGTACGAGGCCAAATAGGCATACCGGCAAGATAGATGAAGTGCAGTCCGGGTGAAAGTAATATTCTTAATATAATGCTGAAACAATAGGATAGAAGTTGCCTTAGTGCCAAGATGATTGGAAGTCCCATAATTTATTAATATGAAGTCACTGAGACAAAATTCTGCAAGTTGGTTGTCGATCAACGATTCTTAAGCTTGGTTTTGCAGGTTGTGTGTGTGTGTGTGGGATGGGGGGGGGGGGGAATAAATGACGGGAGCTATAGGAGCTTTAAGCTGGTAGGAAAGAAATTATTTATTTATTAAGTATACGAAGTAACGTGGGGTTTGTGCAATTCTTGACACAAATTGAAAATCACTCACTCCCTGCTGACAGGTGTCACTACCCTCGAGCGTGTTGTGGTATAAGTCATGGTAGTTTGAAGGGCTTAGAGCAGTGAACGTCACAGGCCTTTCATATCCTGCATGGAATCAGTGAAATCCATGCCAATATGAGATTCCAGTTCACATTGTTGGAGCTTGAAGGAAATAATCCCTGTGGAATGGCAATTTCTGTTATCAACCATACATTTGGCCTTGTAGCAAGGTATACTGATGCTGGCAGGAAACGGGGAGAGACAATCATGGCACTGAAGTCTGTATCAGCTTCATCATCTTTGATTGTTTTGCCATGGCCTCTCGACAGCGTGTCTTGTGACAAGCTCTGTATACATCCACAAGCATGAAGGCAACGAGGGTTCCTGTTTCAGTAATCTGGATTTCTGCTGATAACAGTCTATTTTCCTCTGGAGTTTAGGCCTCTACATTCATGAGGTCATCATCGGTGATTCTGTGGAAGACAGAAGTGGAAAATGATAAACATTATGACAGGAATATGATGTACATGTGGTTGCAAATGTGTTTCAAGAAGGAAATGGTTTATTAATCACAAGTACATGCTAATTTTCTGGTCTAATGCTACAACGGACTTTGTTTTCTGACAATTTTTGTTGTAAGACATGTAATACTTAAACATGATTTTAATGATAGATAAGGTTAAAACATATCAGGTAAATCACCAGTATGTAAATTATTAAGAAAGATATTTATACAGGAGATTTCGTCAGACTAGATTTGTGAATAACAATAATGGCACAATGTTTCTGCCGACATGGTGTTTATTGTTTCTGCAAATAAAGAATTGTAAGTTTATTGGTTATTTCGTAAACAAAAATCTATCACATAAGGCACAAGATATGGAAGGACGATCAAGAATATGAGGTAAGTAATTCTACACACATTTGGGATTAGCTCTAGAAGATACATTAGCAAAACTGATAACACTAGTTACAGTTTCATTGCCAAGAATACCTGTGAAAAAATTGAAATCTAGTTGTTGCTCAGTGCTTGCAAAATGTTCCATATGTATAGGATGAATCCCCTGTATTTTGTATCGACTATGTTTTCTTCTTTTCCCAAACAGATGTTGATCTTCAATACTCCCACAATAACTGTTTTCATTGAGACTACAAAATGGCCTAATTCTATCACTCTTAGCTTTTAATTCATCATCAATACCAATGAAGCTGCCAAATGACAATTTTCTCCTAGTGTACCATGTTCATCTACCAGTAAAGGCTGATTGCTTTTCTGAGATAGTTCATGCATTTTATCTACATTTGGTTCAGGGGGTACAGGGAGTAGGGTTGGGGGAGGGGTTGAGGGTGTGCTGTTTTGCTGTCTATTAAATGGTTCATGTTTTCGAGATTTGCTGAAACACCCCATATGTGCATGCACGTAGGCGCTGCCACATATCTGATACTTTGTATAAAGTGTTAAACTGAACACCATGCTTCATATCATACACTTACGGCTTGATGGAAATAGCCGAAGGTTGTCTTGTCAGTATCGCTATGCTTACGGATAAAGGCGAAATGGGCCGATTAATTCATTAACATGCACTAGATTTCTCCAGTATTCCCTCCCCAGTGCTCCCTGCTCCTTGCTAGGTCACATGACCTCCAAAAGTAGTAAAGGGATCTCGATTTGTGATCATGTATTTGTAAGGTTCAGGTTCAAACCGTAAATCATATTTAAGTCTATATGTTGATCACTTTGAAGCAATGGCAGTTGTAAGCGGCACTGATTAATGTCCATAATGCACGTAGTACTTAATAGTTCGTGTTATTTGTTTGTTGTTTAACGCCGCAATTCTCCAGCTATATGACGGTGGTCTGTAAGTAATCGAGTCTGGACCAGACAATCCAGTGATTGACAACATGAGCATCGATCCACGCAATTGGGATCGATGACATGCATCAACCAAGTCTGCGAGCCTGACCACACGATCCTGTTAGTCGCATCTTACGACAATCATAGTCGCCTTTTACGGCAAGCATGGGTTGCTGAAGACCTATTCCACCCCGGATCTTCACGGGCAGTTCGTGTTAACGAGCCTGTGTGTCTAGCAAATTGGATAGTCAGACACTAAATTTGACCAACAATGGTTTCCTTCCTTCCTACACAAATATGCTATATGCGTATTGCTTCTCACATAGCCACCATGCGTCATCTTTTTAAAATGTTCAAAGATAATAGGATGACCAACATCCATCAAGTATTACCTGATCGTGAAATGAAACGTGCTGCACGTGACCGGCACAGTTTATCTCATTGTAATTTAAACCTAGAGAAACGTCAATAACAGAGAAGAAAAATTATTTTGAATTTTTCGTTTGATGAATGTTTTCATCAAAAATCTTTGTTGTATTGGACTTCGTCCCCAAGAAAGGCTTTGTTGGTGAGGGTTCCCCGTATTTATAAAAACGGAAGAATATATCTGTCATGAACCGTGTGCCGCGTGCGTGCCAGAGCGCCACTCAGGAAGCAGAAAAGCAATTTACCTCCCCTGTGCAACTCGCATCTCTCAGCGCACCTGGCCTTAGAACTAAGGATTAACAGAAATTGTTGATAAACTCAGTAAATAACAGTTGTTGCAATCTTGCCCAATTTCATTTAAGATGCAAATCTGCACAATATGTTCACACAATGGTACTTGACACTGACACTACATAGGAAAGATTTAAGACAATATAAAAATATTTCAATTTGACATGTCTGCGCTACGCTTAACAGACTTGTCTATCTATAACAGCTCCCAAGCTGCTCTAAGAGAAATAAAACAGTGAGTTATAGTATAGTTCTCTATATCGAATTCATGTAAAAGGAATTCATATTTTCGTGTGTATATTTATCGCTCAGCATTTCAGATATAGTATTGGCCTGTTAAAGGGGGCTAGGAAAACTGATCTTACAGAAATTTGAGGAAATATTTTTTAATATTATCGCGCCAGATACGCATTAGTAACTTGTGAAAGGTATGTGAAACACAAATTAGATACATACAAGTCCCTTCGGAATGGAAAGCGAACCTGAGTGCGCTTCTTAAAGCAAGTTGACTCGTTTCTCTGTGAAAATAGGCAAGTTATTGCATTCAAGAGCCTGGAGCAGTTCACTGCGTCAAACAACACTAGTACGATAGAGTATGGCCGTCCTTCAGCCCCATCTTTGTCTCTCATCTAGACGACAGATGCAGGAACGACCGTCGGTCGTGCGTACGACGCGTGCGCAAGAACGAGCTCACGGTGACAAAAAATATAACTGCTCTCCCGTTTCAATGAATATTGTTCTTAATTTTCAAACTGGAGGCATAATTGATAGATATCTTTTATGTTAACTAATATTTGCCTGTTCATGTGGAATAGCCCTCTCCGTCACGTCACCGTGATGGGGTTCTACTACGCACGTGCGCAGCTATGCCCGCTTAGTTCCCGCCTCTTATTTTTATTTGTCCCGCTTTTAACCAGCAACGTCCGTGCGCGACTGGCTTATCCCATTAACAATCTTCGTAGGGAGTTAATTTGGACTCTGCTCTCCGAGAAAAACGCTCCTTAACTAATTCAGACAAATGCTATGAAGAAATCCAGAATGTAGTGGCCGCGTGCCCGCGCACACGACCGACGGTATGCGCACGCGCCGCGGACGACGGTACAGGCGCAATTAGGGGGCATCGTGTCTGAGGGTCGGGGGTCTGAGGAGGGCTTATAATCGCCAGCTCGCTCCAACAACACCTGGCCTCTCATTGGGTTTCAGCCTGCTTTCTTTACTAAACAATGCCACTGCGGTGACAATACCGACCTGGGCTAACGTGTAACAGTAAAAGAGACGGCATACATGTTGACACAAATCCGGCTCTGGCGGGACACAGGTTTGCTTCCCGTGTGGAAAGTAACGTAGGCATAAAGCATACGCAAATCAACTTTTGTACGTGGGTTTAACTGTAATGCTTCAATAACTGAATGACACAACGATATGCTTCTTTGTACATGTATGTGATTTAATTGCTGCCGCGATCGTCCCTGCATGGTCACCTATGCGAAGAATTTGATCTCGAAGTTGAATGCAACATTTATGATTAAGTTAACTCTACCTTAGCAATTTTGGCCTTGACCTCCGTAAACTGGAGCCTGCATCAGCCCCGGCAATGCATATTTACTAGCTATATGGATGGCGCGTGCATCCAATGAACCGGCTGTCAAAGTGTATGACATGAACCGTTTCAATTGAACAATACGGATACGAACGTATTATACTGTATTGTACAAAGTGACGATGAGGAAATTGTAATCCTGTAACGCGGACAGGACGATACGACCATCCATATATTCAGCGTTTATTCATTCAGTCTTTGAGTTGACCAAAGTGAACATAAGAATAGTACACAAACATAGATATAAACAAAACTATGAAGATCAAGGTAAGGTCAATGAAAATTAATTAGTTCCTTTTTTATTGAAATAAATGTCTTTTCCAAGAGAGAAATAACGCCAGTTAATGGTTAAAAGTGTCCCAAGCGACAGCTTTTTTGTCAGATGATCAGGTCGTTATTGATCAAATCATCTCTCTGTTGGCCCCGAGTGAGAAATCACAACGCTTCCTCGCTCCTCTGATTGACCCGCCTCCCACCCAACACAAAGAACCCTGTTCACGGGCGGTTATCTCACTAGAACACTAATGATGATTTGTTACAAAACGAAAAATGAACGATATGCTAATAATTCGACTAAACTGAAACACATGGGGTAATGTGTCATTTCTATCCTGCGTGCATTGGATTTAATGTATGTCTTCAAATTCGAAGCAGTAAGAAACACTAAAAGTTAATACCTACATATTTTACTTCATATATATAATCATGGAATCGTGCGGTTATGTGGCACAAATAAAGCAGCCACATAAACCACACGATTCCACTCAGTGAACATATAGATACATGTGGAAGCGGCAACTTTTTAGTTTCCCCGCTATATCAGCTAAATTTTGATCATGAACCTACATTGTTTCAAAAAGAGCAACATTTCATTCATAAATACGCACCTAATTAATGTAAAGGCGTAAGTTATTTGTCCATTGTCACCTTGGTATTGTGACGTCATAGTTCTCATAAATGTTATGACGTCACGTAACTATATGTTACAACTTCATTTATTACTTGCACGTGAAGAGATCACCCGTTTAATAAACATACAGCTGTATTACACATTGTGTAATACCAAAACGCGTGCTTATGTACTCTCGGAACACGTTTCACGAACAAATATTGAAAGCTCTCAACATCCCTTGGCTTATTCAACGACATTGCTTGTGGAGATGATAGATCACTGAGAGGAGCTTATGCACACTGGATGACCCCAGCAACCTTGTTGCTAGGTTGACGTCACATGGCATTGTTTCGCCGAAGGATCTGGCAACAAAATTCCACAAATTACGTCATTGGGTATTGTGACGTGATTGTAAACTTTGAGGTGCAAGGCCCCGTTCCACAAGGCCATCGTACGGTAGCGCGACGACAGTCGTTGGTCAAAGTTAAAGTATATGAGTTGCGATAACCTTAACGCTACGATAATTTTGTGGAACGGACGCCTGCATTCTAAAGGTGGACCGTTGGATGGTATTAAATTCATACTTTTCAACTTTTGACGTATTTGAAGTGTTACTGAAGTATTACTGTGTTAAACTCAGTTGGATTATGCCGTGGATCGTGTAGGTGTCAGCCTATTCACACTCAACAGTATAATTCTAAAAACGTTATAAATGGCCAGTAATAAATAAAATACTAAACTCGCTCCCGTGTAAAACCAATTTTATGAAACTCGTGAATAGTTATGGTATCTGAATCGTTTTCGCTCGTCAGATACCAGAACTATTCACTCGTTTCATAAAATTGGTATTACACGGGAGCTTGTTTAGTATTCTATATGTCCGTTATGGCCTGATGAGACTCGCACGTGGTACGAGTTGAAAGCGCTAGCCAATTAAAACTGTGTTCAATCTTACTCCACTTATTTAATTATTACTATATTGTGCCTGAGAGTTAGAACTTTACTGTGCTTATATATATAAACAATGACTTATAACAACTCTTTTGAATAAGTAATTCTTAAACTGTTTTTAAATCATGTTTATATTATATGTTTGAGGAGGAACATTGCTCTGTGTTTTCCTCTGTTTATTAGTACCATGTTATACTTTGAGTTTACATAGTTAGACCCTAATATGTTCGAAAAGTGTTACTTTGGTCACAATGAAGTTCGTATTAACATCACCATCATGAATGTACTTTGATGGACGACAAGGTTGTTCGGAATTGAAATTAACACCACGCGTACCGTTTGTGATTAGCCTGACATTTTGCTGCACGTGCCGCACGGGACAATGCTCACGTGCATGTGATATGTCACAGGAAACAGCCATCTGGTCGTGTGCTGAAAAGCAAGAAACGAATATAATCATTTTTAACGCCTATCATATTTGAAAGTTTTAAATGCCTTTGTTGGAATATATTGTCCCTACATACCTACGTGTAGTTCAATATCGCCCATCGACGAGTTCCTGGCGTCATCGCAACACTGTCAATGTTTGAAAAAAGGAGCTATAAAAGCAAAGTAAAAAATTGCGTTAATCATTATGAACTGATAATGAGCTGCTTTTTCCTATTTGAAATTGGATACCTGCGAGGGAAATATATATGTCTCAACAAAATAACTCATTTCAACTAAGCATTTTGATCAAAACATAAATAATAACACATAAATCGATTATATGAATGAGCAAACTTCAAACTGACTTCTCCCAACCCCACTGCAAAACGATTTGTCGAGCCCTAAAACATAAAGATGAAGTAAGACTGCCCAAGACTATCAATGACAGTTCTCGTGTTCGTGGTACAAAGAAACCTGAATTTGTAGATAGTGTGTATTCATGTCGATAAAACATACATTTTGTTTCACTGATGCTGATTAGCCAATGTTTAGTCATACGCAATCGGTTTTTGGCGATTTAGCGGCGAGCGTGGTTAACCAAGTATGACCAATGGCTTGTTTACAAAGACGCGTCGGGTAGTGTATCTCCGACAAAAATAACATACGTTCGGCGGGCTTACAATTTAGATAGTTGTGAAAGTCAACACTTGAAACCACGAGTAAACACACTGGCTGCCAGGGTTGTCAGTAGCGTTACGTCATTAACGACGGCCACCAGTGGTTGTTGGTTTGTGAGCAGTCTGTTCGTACCAGCGATTAATTTGTCCAATTTATTAGCACTCTCAGTCTAGCGAGGATCGACATTATCACATTGTCTGTAATCACTCTCCGTTGCCTGAAGATAAATCAGGAAGTATTCAGGAAAGATGTCTCGCGCCACCACCAGGACACTCGATAGTAGTGAGCATGTCACTCGTTACGTCAGAACATCAAGGTGGCACACACCTCACCCTCGTTGTTATCAGAAGGAAGTGCATTACGTAGCTGCAGAAACCAGACATCTCCCGGACTTTGTTCTTCATCAGAGGCAAACAATATGATCGCCTTCTGGTGTCGTCATAATTGGTACAAATTGCGCATGACCTTGAGTCCCGATTGTCACCTTTGACGATACAAACCGCTCACTTCACTGGGAGGTTGAGGTTTGGGGATCACCAGATTTCACTAACAATAACCTCGCTCGTAATATTTCATTGGCTATCCCGAACAGAACAGAACAGTTTATTGTCTCCAAACCACCGGCGGTGGTACAAAAGAGCAAGCATGTAAACATAAAGTATTAATATGTGACAAGATGACAGTATGTCATGCCTTGATCTTTTCTGGGGTTTTCCTGCTTTAAATATTTCATCAATAAATCTCGATAGGTTCTTAAGATCTCTAGTGTTTTCACTAGACAATAACTTCTTAAATGTATACAAATTAGGCCATTTATTCTGGTAAGCAGTTGGTGGGTATACAAATCTATGTTTTGACAGAGCCTGGCATCTAAAAAGATAATGAAATTCGTTTGCAACTGAAGGAGAGTTGTACAGTTCACATACACGATCCTCTTTCTTTACTCTATTCCAACGGTCGGTTTCAATTGGTAGATTATGGTTACATGTTCTCAATTTTAAGATTGGAATATACATATTTTTTGTCATTGAAAGGTATTTTTCAAATTTTGGCTTTTCTGTCAGATACTGATAACAGTAACCTTTACTGCTCAATGCCATATTGCATCTCCATTCTTGTAGGACTTTACCTGCCCTACCTAAGCAAATGTGGTATTACAGGTATTAGGGTTATAGAATGTGTGTGTGTGTTAGTCCACAGTTATTTAATATATTTTTAATCCATTCTATCCAGGGATTACTTTCATCAAGATTCCTTTCAACAAAGTGATAAATCATTTGTGAAAGTTTCTTTTCACACATAAGTGTTGCGATGTTATGCCAGAATTTAATTACACGTTTTGAGATAGTTATGCGTAGGGGTTATTCGCCATAAACCATAAAGTTTGGAGTTGATGCTCTTTATCCAGTAGCAAATTTTAAAAATGTCAAATGAACACGCTCAATAAGTTTGTAATCTTTCGTATCCCTATATTTCTGAACCATATAACAAGATAGATGATACCATAGAATCAAAAGCCGAGATAAGGAGACAGAACATAGCTTTCTTTGCATCAGAGGCAATAGTTTTGATTGCGCTTATCATCCTTCGATTTCTATGGAATGTTATGCCAAGGTTAACACAGCTATCCACTATCTCGAGGTGTTTTCCACCAACCATGAACTTTACTTCGTTTAGCAGGGCCACTGCCAAATATAATATGTTTTGTTTTTGAAATGTTAACATCTAGTTTCCATTTAGTGCAGTATATTCTAAACGAGTCAAGGGTTTTCTGTAAATCGGCGGGGCATCTACTAAATAAGACTGTATCATCAATATACAGTAAAATTATAAATTGTAATAATACGTTTGCGTCATCACCAAGAATATAATCAACATTTACACCGTGACAATTATGTTCCAATAGAGATTGCTTGAGGTCATTGATGTACAATGAAAATAGTAATGGGGATAAATGTTCCCCTTGTCTAACTCCGGATAGGCTTGGGGAAAAGCTGATATTCCATTGTTTACAACAGCACACGATTTAATATTGCTGTACAAGTTTTTAATTAGGATGAGAAATTACCTCTGAAGCCACTTTTCAACAGTATGTGCAAAAAAACTTTTTTCCACACTTTGTCCAAAGCCTTGGTGAAATCTATAAATTCACAATACAACTTTTGTTTGCTATACTTAAGGCTCTGCATTAACATATGGATGATAAACACGTTGACTACTGTTGAGTAGTTTTTCCTAAATCCAGCTTGTGCGGGAGACCGGGTGTCATTGTTATCAGTGAAAGATGACAATCGTGTATTTAGTATACTCGTAAAACATTTCCCCAAGAAACTCGAAATTGTGATTTGTCTGTAAGAGTTTGGATCTGGTGGGTTACCTTTCTTTTTAAATTCTGGCTTGATCACACCGGTTAGCCATGCATCTAGTATGGTTCCGGTAGTGAACACGGCATTAAAGTAATCAAGATATACGGGTGCTAATAATTCTAATGAGTTTACTGTATACTCATTTACAATGAGATCTATACCAAAAGCTTTGTTATTTTACAGGCTTTTTACAGCTTTGCGTATTTCTTCTATTGTGATATCACTATTGAGCATTTCATCATCATGCACAGTAGTATTTGGATATTCTTCATCAATAATTGTGTCTGTATTCATGTCTTTATTTATATCTTTATAGAATTCATAAAATGTTTCGATATCAGACTCAGTGTTATTTACCTTACTCTTATTTTTGTTCAGAGCGTTCCAGAATTCACGTGGACTATGCTTTCGATTGGGTCTGAATAAATTACGTAAATCGTTTCTATGTTTCTTGATATGTTTGTCTAAGCATTTCTTATATGCCTTCGATTGCTCTCGGAAAACCTTTCTATTTTCAATAGTGTTGGTTTTCTTTAAAAAAATAGCCTAACCGAAGTAGTTACTTTGTTTTTTACATTCGTGACCGAGCCAAGGTTTTTGCTTTCTCTGAGTTTTGCGTCCGCATCAGGCCGGTCTCACCCCGAATGTTGCACGTGCAGCGTCGACTAGGACATGTGCGATTTCGTTTGCTATATCATTCATAGTGCACGGGTCAGCGACTCCCAAACGCGATGACTTTGCTAATTTGATAAGACAATCAATCCGGTCTCTATCAATATTATCAAAATATATCTGGCTTTTAGTATTCTCAAATCTTTTGGGGTTAGGTTCACAGTCCGTCTTTATTATGTCTCCCCCAGAATGGAGGGAGACATATTGTTTTTGGCACGGTTCCCGTCGGCGTCGGCGTCGGCGTCGGCGTCGGCGTCGGCGTTCCCACCGTTTCCGGACCATAACTCAGAAACCGTTTAATATTTTTTCGCGAAACTTTGTATACACATTAGCCCAGCACTGAAGTGGTGCCTTTTGCTATTTAGAGATTTTTGACATTTTTATTTTTTCTCGTTTCCATGGAGATAACTTGAACATAGACTCTGAATGGGGGTAAGCTTGGTTTCCGGACCATAACTCGGAAACCGTTTAATATTTTTCGCGAAACTTTGTATACACATTAACCCAGCACTGAAGTGGTGCCTTTTGCTATTTAGAGATTTTTGACATTTTTATTTTTTCTCGTTTCCATGGAGATAACTTGAACATAGACTCTGAATGGGGGTAAGCTTTGTTTCCGGACCATAACTCAAAAACTGTTCAATATTATTTCATGAAGTTGTAACATATTAACAAAGTCCTGAAGTGGTGCCCATTAGTTGTTTGAAATTTCTAGGAGTTCTATTTTTGTCTTTGTTATTTAGTAATGGAGGGTGGGAATGAAGAGATGGGGTTTAACGTGAAGTAAACGAATGAATGGGGGTTAGGGGAGTGGGGGGAGACATATGTTTTTACGAGTAAAAACACTTTCTAGTTTTCATTGTTTTTGTAGTGCGGTTTTGACTTTCTGAACATTTTGATTTATCTAGAGAAGACCTTATTGGGCAACGTACATCAGAAAACGGTGGACAGTAACTTTTAATTTCAGAATCTTTAAATAAAGGAAGATACATTGTCGAAGAGACTGCATAATCGACCACACTCTTGTCTAGACACGTAGTGTTCCCAACCATTTTTATCTTGTCCCATACGCCCATTGCATATAAATAAGTTTTGATTCTTGCATAGTTCTACCAATTTTGCACCTGAGTTATTAACTCGTAATTTATCTTTTGACGACCAAACCCTTTGAAGGAAAAGATCATTGAGTGCTGCTTCAGGTTCGAGTTCAGATCATAAACCATTTATGTCTATATCCAACTCATCGAGTATGTGTTTTTCTATGGTACAATACTCACACAGGTTACTAGTATTAGCACTGAAATCGCCCATCAGTACAACATAATCACTCAAGGATAGAGTATGTAATATGGATTGTTCGGGTTTATAGTATTCACCTTCATTAAAATATTTAGAGTTTTCGGGTGGAATATATACTGCTCCTAAATACAGGTCTTGCTCGGTATCAAATAGCTCCTTAGAAATTTTAACCCAGAGAATATACTCACACATTTCCTCAATGGGGTTGGCATATTTTCTTTTATTGCAAAACCGACACCTCCTGATCTTAAAGCACTGCTCCTATGATGGAGATAGACATAGTAACCCTCAATAAGGATATCATCCAATATATCAGTTTTGGTTTCCTGGAAGCCTCATTGTTATCAATTAGATCCATGAATCCGGGGTATTCTAATCGCCTCCTTATTCCACATACATTCCAATTTAAAAAGTGCAAAAAGGTAGGGCGATTGTTAGAAGCTTGGATATTATCCTTATTAATGCTTAGTGGTGGCGTACATGTATTTACAGTATAATGGTGTTTGTTTGGGCAGTTTAGGAGTCCCATTGTTGGAAGTGTTAAAACTAGAGTTGCAAACACTTTTCATATTTATGGCATAATGTTCCGTTGTTCTCAGTCCCTGTTCAACATTGCGACTGAGTGTAGCGCAACCGACAGCGTCATGTTTTGCGGTATGGTGATAATGTGGGGTTTCGTTTCCAGTAACACCTCCAACCCACCTCATACAAACAGTCATCAGCTGACACAGCAGAGTCAGGGAGTGTCTTAGTGATCCCAATTGGGATATGACATAAAAACATATAAGTTTCCTCCCTGTGCACTATGTTCACAGGGTCACACACCATGTGGTCCACACTTGACCGCTATCGCGGTTACCAACAGTATTTGATACTCTACAGCATACAGAATGAAATTGCCTCACCGGAATATCCTGCAGTAATGGTTATGGCTGTACACGTCGCTGTCAGAGGCAGTCACACTGGCTGTATGTGGTTTGGCATATTTGGTGACAGGCTGGTGACATGTCGTGATCGCCTTCTGTCCACCAACGTATTCCTACGCGCGACTGGGCTTGGGTTGTGCAGATGAACTCTGCTACGGGGTTGGTATAGCAGGTTTCTGCGGTACATTATCAATCTACAGATATGTGCGCTTTCTTGCCAGAACTCCTTGCTTCCCTCAGTAGTGACATTAATACTTCTCTTCTGTGTTTACCCACCTCGTCCGGGAACTGTTCGTTGAAACTCTAATTAGTACCCTTCAACCTTTAAGCCGCTCACTAACTGCATCTCTCTTATGGGTGTTCTGAAACTTGGCTATGAGTGGGCGGGCCCGTTCATCAGGTCCTGCTTAATAGTTTTTACGACCGATCCTGTGTACCCGATTAAATTTGATAGAATCACTGTCCATATGGAGTTCATGCTTAATACGGTCCATCAGGGCCTTTTCTCACTCTTCCAGAGGGAGTTTGCAAACACAAGATTGTCACGCATGGACATACATCATTAGTCAACGACAGACTCCCGAAGGTTGACATTGTAAAGTTTGAGCTTTTCAAAGACTGGACTGTGCTTATCAAGTTGGGCCTTCATCATATTGATTTCTTTCTCTATCTTTGATATGTCAGCTTTAAAATCGTCATAGCTAGCACTAACAAACTGCACACTCTGTTCAATATCATCCACGCGGCGTATCCAGATCTTTGATCCTTTGGTCCTAGCCCTGCTACATTGTTTTTTAACTCTGCAACATCATTCTCAATGACATGAAGCTTTGTTAGTTTCGAATCTATTTTTTTAAGCTTGGTCACTAGGTTACCTGTGTCTACGGTTGTCGATTGAGGTTTCCGCTGGGGGGTGTCACCTAAAGTCGTGTCAAAGTCGTTCGCCGATGATGATGATTTCTTTTTCCGTTTTGCTTTCTGTTTTCTTGCCTTATTTTCAGTTTCTGGTTTAGGGGGCATTATGTATTTAGTTTAGTAGTATACCCCATGCTGTTTGTAGTCACAATACACTACTGGAAGACTACTTGATAGAGGCAAACAATGGTGGCATCTTGACACGTCATGTACCGAACAGATACGGCATAATGACTGGCTAATATTAACACATCTAAAGGGATCAGTGATAGGATTATGTCGCAATGAAATGATCCCTTTTCAAATTGGCAAGACGTTTGAGTAATGTTACGGATCTTCACCTTCGCTACTTTCCCTTCAGAACCACCACTACCCCATGCGGTTAGATTGTGGCCATAAACGTATTATACCCTTCTCAAAAAATAACATAGCTGCATTTCTCGGGTCGGGTGGTTGCATGGGGCAGATAAAATTTGTTGTGCCCTCCGATAGGTTGTTGTAGCAAGGGTTAAAGGCGAAACCCCGTGAATGACCATGTTGAAAGAATGTTGGACCCTGAGTGTCGTGCATGACTTGGACGGACGGGAAATATCGTGACCTCACCTTAAAAATAGCCCAGACTGTGCACCTTTCATCCCTTCATTTCAGTCATAACATAGAAATGCCTTTCAGAAACTGAATGTCATTTACCTACAGATGTGAAGCATTTTGTAGGATGTATCTCCTGACAAAAAGATAAATTATCGACTAGGGGTCGGGGGTTTGCATGATGTCACGTCGACAACTTGCTGGGAGCTATTCTATCAAAATCACTTTCGCCAGTGTACATATCACACACTACCATACATTAGTGTATAGATCACACCCTACCTCACACTTGCGTACACATCACACCCAACCGCACACTAGTGTACAAATGACACCCTACCTCACACTAGTGTACACATCACACCCTACCGTCCAGGGGCGGTCGGGTAGCCTAGTGGTTTAAGACCCGGGTTCGATTCCTAACATGGATACAATGTGTGAAGCCCATTTCTGGTGTCCCCCGCCTTGATATTGCTTGAATATTGCTAAAAGCGGCGTAAAACCATACTCACCTTACCGTCCACTAGTGTTCACATCACATCCGACCCGTGAAGGTCTTCAGCAACCCATGCTTGCCGTAAAAGGCGACTCTGTTTGTCGTAAAAGGCGACCAACGGTATCGGATGTTCAGGCTCGGTGACTTGGTTGATGCATGTCATCAATCCCATTTGCGTGGATAGATGCTCATGATGTCAATCACTGGATTGTCTTGTCCAGACTCGATTATTTACAGACCGCCATCATATAGCTGAAATATTGCCGAGTGTGGCATTAAACAAACAAACAAAACACCACATCCAGCGCACACTAGTGTACTCATCACTAGCTATCGCACACAAGTGTTCAGATCACACCCTCCGCCCCTGGTGTGCACATCACACCCTACCGCACATTAGTGTACGAATCACACCCTACTGCACACAAGTCATCACATGCAACCATAAATTAGAGTACACATGTCACACGCACTTCATTATCGTTATCTAAACGAACACGGTCATTTTTGACAGCACGGCGAAAATATATCTTTGGCGTATAAAGTCGAAAAACTGAATGAGAAACTCCGATCTAAAGATGTTCAAATCGATGACATCTACTATTGGTACTTATTTGCATCGCGCGACATGCAGACCGAAGTCAGAAAACAGGTGATCCGACCAAATACTCGAAGGAGAAGCCCCATCCTATTCTTGTCAAGTTCCTATTCTACTGGAAGAAGCGCGAGATGATGCAGAATACCTTCCTTCACGACAATCTTACCAAAGAACGAGCCAAAATTGCTGCCAAGGCTCGGAATCCCGCAGATATCCAAGAGATTGTACAAGAAACTGGACGACACGGTTTCACTCATCACAAATCGTTTGATGAGTAATTAAATCTCTAAAATTGAAGAATAAGTTCCGATTGTCACAGGAGCAGAATCAGACTGCTTAATACATCGATGATGATAACAGTGATGATTAATAAAGCGTTAAGAGCACGTGTTTAGCTTCACCGATATAATCCATCTGTATCTTTACTATCACTACATGTGTTTCTCTTTTTACGCAAACACTGACCCAGCAGGTACAAACTGTTGATTGGATGACATTTTTATTTGCATAATTATTATCCAATGCGACCAGAGAAGCTTGACTCTCATATCGATCGATCGTATACAGGCAGCAGGCACATCGACAGATTTCCATCAAAGACTCACTGTTTTATCCATGTATGTTGTCAATTTTCTTGAACTTTTAATTTTTTTATAACACTGAACATTTATAACATTGACTTATATTTGCAGGATTTATGAAATTGTGGGATATCAGGTGAGATGCACGACTGTTGTGTGGGTTCTTCAACATTGCTCCATACATATCGTCATTAGGTATGTTTTCAGCTACAGCTACAATACTGGGCCTGAATTTTTAAAACAATATTTTTAAGAAATAAATCTTCCAGCAATATAATTTTTGTGGCAGGCAATTCATTTTTTTCCAACTGTCTGAAGCATAATTATTTTTCCAAGAATGCTCGGGGACAATGTATTTCTTTCGATAAAATTCAATAATTAATCTGTACTTGCACTCGCGTGTGATGATTAATCCTAACAAAACAGAATCTGTATTGTTTACAAGGAAGAAATCAATAAGATTCAATCTGTAGATTCTCGTAAACAACTTTGACTTACTTTGCAAATAGATGGTCAGTGACAATTGTACATTAACGAAATTATGCCCAAAGTAAGCCCACGGTTAATTGCTTTAGAACTTTCAAATATCGTTTAAATAGAAACAGCCTACATACGTTGTATAACTGTTTTATATTACCAATATTCGATTATTGTGATTTCATCTGGAACAAATGTACTAAGGGCCAAGAACTCTTATTTGAAAAACTACAATTAGATGCCTTAAGTATCATATGTTGATCTGTTACACTATAAATATGTTTTATTTAAAATATAAACACAGACAAGACATGTTTATACCTAAACACGATTAGGAATGTGTTCAATTCATAAACGGAACACACATTTGGCGTGTGTTCTCTAAACACATTTAGGTCTAAACACATGAAATGAGCTGTCGTCTCACACCCTCAACGCCACCTAAACACAACATCCCCCTTATCTTAACATGTTCAGAATTTAAACCCGTTTGAACATGTTTCAAATTTAAACATTTTTAGAATTTAAACATGTTTCAATAAAGCGCATACCATTAGACAATAAGTCAAATATAGATCAGATGTATAAAATATATTAAAAAAAGATGTACAAATCAGATTCACAAGCACTTGAATAACACATATACCACCAGGACTTACAACGAACTTGGTACAATATTATCATAAATATGTACAACTTAATCAAACGCGGCTAATGGTGACTAGGAAAACTGACAGGTGTCGAGCTTAGATGATATGTGTTCATCCACAGCTACAAAACCAGACATTGAGCCTGATTGTTTAAAACAATATTTTAAAGAAAAACATCCTGCAAAACTGTAATTTTTTGTGACTGCAGATTTTCTTTTCTTTTCTGTATTCATTTCAACAGTCTTAAGGTATACGCATTTAGACACTAAACACGTTTAGCTGTTAAAACACAATCCTAGACATGTCAAAATTATGGGACAAAGAACGTGTTTAAGTTTGTGTTTAGGATCAAATACATATTTTGCAGTAAAGAGGGGTGAGTCACAGAATAATGTAAAATGCCACGGGATATAAGTGATCGCCGGGAAAGCCACAAAAAGGGTGTATTTCACAAACTGTGCTATAATGAAACGCCCGTATAATGATCAAGTTCATTTCATTTTAACATTTCTTCCACTTCCACATATGCAGGAAGGTCATCTAATATACTTCAAGTACCTTTATGTCCCATTGAAACATACAGAAATCATTTTGCCATCATCAGTGAATGATTGGTATATGTTGAATATATTTTATTAGCAATATACATCTTTTTGCACAAAATGGTTCTTAGGACATACACTGTAGAATGAGACTCAGTTGAGTTTGATCGTTTTATTGTTAATGATATTAATTGTAGTTGTGGTAATTGTTACGAAGATAATCCTCATTATCCATTTAATGTAAAAAAATATACGATCAGATCAAGTTG